TAGAGGTGAGGTTTATACCAACAGAAGATCAAGTTGCAGACGGCTTTACCAAGGCTCTGCCGCAAAGGAAATTTGAAGAATTCAAGAACAATCTAAATCTTGTAGAGAAGACAAGCATAGATTGAGCGGGGGTGTTAAGATATGTAGCAATCTTTGTAAACGTGACACACAAGTATAACACGTCAATGAACGTGGTTGTGTGCATGTCAATCTTATGTTCGGTTGAGATATGATTAGTTTGTTAGATCCATATCTAGTTCAACTGAATTCCTTGTAATGCAAGTTTGTACATCTATATATATGCTAACACGTATCCGTGATGAGCCAAGATAGGCAATCACGTTTGCCATATTACTTTACACTATATATATATATATATAATAGATAGTACAAACCAGATCTGCACGGCCACAATGGACAACTACTACTTATTTTCAGCCTGTTCTTTTCGGCTGGATTGTCTTATAAGCCATGGCTGAAAGTACTGCTGGCTAGTTTGGTGTGAGAGAAAAATATTGTTCAAGCCATGGATTATAAGCCAGATACGAGCAATCCAGCCGAAACGAACAGGCTATTTATTTGTAATAGACATATGTACTGTAGACTAGATACTACAGAAATTGGTCCAATAGTACCAGAAACGAAATACTTTCGTACACTCGGTTTCTTTTTGCTTCACTATTCCTTCCTCTTCATAGCGCGGACGCCACCCACCTCGTTCTTCCTCTACCCTCGTACTTCCTCCACGGCACGCCCCCGCCACGGAAATCCCGGACCGACCTGGCCTGGCCGCCGCCACCACCGCCGCCAAAACCCGAAAGCCATCCTCCCGCCATCCCCACCACCTGGTAGGCCTGCCTCCCCCGAAACCCCCTTCTAAAGCCACCACATTTGGAGAAGGGGAGAGGGAGAGGCCGGAAGGAGAGGAGAAATCGAGTGCTACAAATACATTTTCTTCTGTTAAATATGTAGTACAACATCACCAAGCACCGCCACCGTCACCCGCTCCGTCCACACCCTACCATGCCCGTGGCGACCGCCATCTCCCCCATAGCCCCACCCCCACAGCCCGCAACTACCAGCCCAACACCTCCTCCTGAAATTGACACCAATGGGAGCTCGGAGCACACATGAAGAGAAGCAAAGAAAATAGAAAGGATTCTAGATTACCTCGGAGGACAGATCAAGAGAAGCTGCTCCATACACAGATCGTTGGTTGGCTAGCTTCATCAACCGTAAACCAATCACCGCTCTGAGAACAGGAGTTGAATGAGAGGGGAAAGTGAAACAAGCAGTACCTGGTGGGAGGAGTGCAGGAGTGTGTAAATGTCTGGAGGACGACGAGCTGTTTTCCCATACCGAAAATGACCCCACCGGTTGATCCCCAAGACAACAGAAACTACAAACCCTCCGACCAAACAAACTTCCACGTTGTGGGCCCCGCTGGCAGATGGACGGTGCAAATAGCCCGCACAGCCACATACACAAGCGGTGAGGCTTTTCCCTGAACATACGTGTAAGTGGCGTACATGCACACGCCTGGCGGATGGTTACAACTTACCAATGATGATCTGTCCGATCAACCGATATCTAGAACACCGATCACAGCGCGATCACCTGGCCGACAACACTACGCAACTATAAATATGCGGGTGCCTAGCTAGAGGCTAATCACTCCACATCTCCACCAGAGACATCGACGACTGATAGCCAGCCATGGAGGCCCTCCTCAGCTGGAAGTTCTTGTTGGTAGTGTTTTCGCACTGTCGCTGGTAGCCGGCTCTGGTGGAGCACCCTCACCACCAGAGAGCGCCGTCGTCCAAGAAGCCGGTAATGGTACATATTGCAAGTAGGGTCATCCCCTTGTCTGTATATCTTTCACATCGTCTTCAACAGTTAATGAATCCGTACGTGCATGTCGGCCTTCAAGGAATTTAGAGGAGAAGGAATTCAAGCCTATCAGCGCCATCAAGATTAAGTACGACGTTGCCCGGGGAAGCTACGCTGGCCTTCATAGCCACCTCCATGAGGTGATGGCGAGACTCTGGATGGCATCCCAGTCCTGGATGCCCAGCGCTCTCTAGGTCGCCCCCTACATGGATTCTCATCATGATCACTGGCGGGAGTACCAAGGTGATGGCCGTCGTCCGCAATGACTAGGGACGGATCTAGGGGGCTCAAGCCTCCTACCACCGCTGGTCTTATGGAGGACCCTGGACACGTTGATGTGCCCAGCTCTCATTTTGTACGCGTTGGTAGGATCTCGCTACTCGTCCAAGATATGATGGCCGGAGTTGTCGACGATCTCGACCGTTGTCATTAGCACAGACCTGCAGATCATGGAATCCAAAAAATGATCAGTACGATTGCAGCGTTTTATCTTTTCTTCGATTGCTGCCTAGTTTAGTTAGTGGGCAGGCTCCCTAGGCCTTCTTACTTGATCGCGGCGGGACTCTAGCTCCGATGCAGCCTCTTCAACAGGATGGCTGCGTCGCTAACATGTGGCACTGGCATTGAGGTACCTGACTTCAACCTGAGTAGACAGGTTCCACCATAAGAAACCCAACGTTGCCTTCACAGCCACCTCTATGAGGTGCTGGCGAGACTGTGGATGGCATCCCAGTCCTGGTTGCCCAGCGCTCTCTGGGTCGCCCCCTACGTAGATCCTCATCACGATCACCAGCGGGAGTGCCAAGATGACGGGCACCATCCGTAACGACTAGGGACGGATCTAGGGGCCTTAAGCACCCCTACTACCGCTGTTCTCATGGAGGACCCTGGACACGTTGATGTGCCCAGCTCCCATTTTGTATGCGTTGGCAGGATCTCGCTGCTCATCCAGGATACGATGACCGGAGTTGTCGACGATGATGTCGACCATTGTCATGAGCGCAGACCTGCAGATTATAGAATCCAAAAAATGATCATTACGATTGCAGCATTTTATCTTTTCTTCGATTGTTGCCTAGTTTAGTTAGTGGGCAGACTCTCTATGCCTTCTTACTTGATCGCGGCGGGACTCCAGCTCTGATGCAACCTCTTTCAACAGGATGGCTATGCCACTAACATGTGGCACTGTCATTGAGGTACGTGACCTGAACCTGGGTGGACAAGTTCCACCATAAGAAACCAACTCCTAGCCTCGAGACTGTGGATGGCATCCCAGTCCCGGTTGCCGAGCGCTCTTTGGATCACCCCCTACATGGATCCTCATCACAATCACCAGCGGGAGTGCCAAGATGACGGGCACCGTCCCAACGATTAGGACGGATCTAAGGGGCTTAAGCCCCCCCACCCCCGCTGGTGTCATGGAGGATCCTGGACACATTGATGTGCCTAGCTCTCATTTTGTATGCGTTGACAGGATCTCGCAGCTCATCCAGGATACGATGGCCGGAGTTGTCGACGATGTCGACCGTTGTCATGAGCGCAGACCTACATATTAAGAATCCAAAAAATGATCAGTACAATTGCAACGTTTTTTCTTTTCTTCGATTGCTGCCTAGTTTAGTTAGTGGGCAGGCTCCCTGGGCCTTCTTACTTGACCGCAACGGGACTCCAGCTCCGATGCAGCCTCTTCAATAGGATGGCTGCGCCGCTAACACGTGGCACTGCCATTGAGGTGCCCGACTTAAACCTCCATAAGAAACCCAACAGCATACTCAGTTCATGTATGATATTGTAATTAATTGGGTATCATTACATACTACAGCTTAGTTTTATAGCGGTGCTCACGTTTATATGCAAATATTGAGGTGTTCAGAATTTTTTTGCAGGACACTGAGTGAACTTTTAGAATTAGGTGTTGAAAATCGCTGCCATTTTGAAGGACACAAATGAATATTTAGGATTAGTTATTTTTAAAAAAAACACTAGCCGGACTTCTGCCACGCAAATATATTAATAGAGGAGAAATTTTTTCAGGATTAGGTAGACGGGTGATTTTTTACAACAGACAGCTCAATACCTAATTTGTAAGGTCATCTCCTTCACCTATAAAAAAGGATGCGCTTTTCCAGGGACGGCCGTTCAGACTCTCTCTGGCTGGCTCTAGAAAATCTGAGCATTCAAACAGCTCCACAACTCTATATCTCTAAAGTACACATAGCATATGCTCCAATACTCAGCGCACGTTAGAGCTCTCGTCACTCTCGGCCCTTCGGTTCAGAGTCCGACCGGACCTTCTAACACTCCCCTTCTTATTTCTACTCGTTTGTAACCTCACAGCAAACTTCGAGCACCTGGACTCATGAATAAAGTCACCGACTGACCGAAACTGGACGTAGAGCACGTTGCCTGAATCAGTATAAATCCTGTGTCATTGAGTGCTATGCCACATCCGATCACAATGCTCGGCAAAACTATAAATATTTATTTGTTGGTCACTTTTCGCACCGACAGTGAATATTTAGGATTAGTTATTTTTTAAAAAAAAACACTGACGGGACTTCTCCACGCAAATATATTAATAGAGGAGAAAAATTTTCAGGATTAGGTAGACGGGTGATTTTTCACAACAGACAGCTCAATACTGTGACAAATCCTTATTAAAAAAATACTGTGACGAATGGAGATTTCACCCTAGCAAAAATGTTGTGGCACATCGTTCTTAGCAAATATATTTATTATCTCAGTGTATATATTTTTTCCGAATCACATATGTTTCTCTTATCTTGGCAAATCATGATTTGCATAGACAGAAGTCGACAGAGAAGGAGAGCAGAGTGGTTACTTTCTCAACTGAAAGTAATACAAGGAAACATTTATATCTATTTAGAATTTTTCTCTAAATGTTTGAAAAGTGAAAAATGAACCTTAAGTACAGTGTATGGTCTTCTACCCAGAAACGTAGGAGCAAAAGTCGTCAAGATTGGGGGAGAAAAGAAATTTAAAGGAGGTTCCGGCACTACTATATATAAATTAATTCCACTCGATCAATCTGTACATATTAATCCATCCTAAACGATCTATACGCTGGTCTGTGCCGCAGCTGCACGTTCTCAGATAGGAGTAGCATTTGATGATGGATCCGCCGCATCTTGGACCGCCGGCGCGACCTGCGTCGCCGACGGCAGGGCGTCGCCCCTCCCTCCCCACTCCCTCACCCTCTCTTCGGCCCGCATAGCCTGCACCGCCATCCAAAGTCCACACAGTTTAATCTCTTCGTCAGATAGATAGATAGATATTAATCTCTCTTAACTTGGACACTAATATAATTGACAGTTCCGTTCGTTAGTTTAGTGTAGCACTGCACCAACCTGTTTCTCCCACTTGGTCCTGTACGAAATGAACACTAGGATTGCCGTCTGAAGCAGAGTTCCCAGCGTCATGCCCAACCAAATCCCCTGCAGCAGATTTCATTTGATGAGAATTTCATGTAATTATGCAGAGAGCTTGTTACATACATTATTCAGAAAATGAACTTTTGGATTCGATTTTCGTTTACGTACCATCGCATCCATGCTTAGCTTGAATCCGAAGAGCGCCGCCAGCGGGATGCCGACGAAGTAGTAGCTGCCGATGTTGACGAAGGCGACGAGCGCCTGCCACCCTGCCCCGATGGCCACGCCCGAGAGCACCGGCTGGATGCTGTTGAGGAAGATGGAGCCCGCGAGGAGGTAGCCCAGCCTGGAGGCCTCCCTCAGCACGTCGCCGTCCTCGCTAAAGAAGCGCGGCAGCCCCGTCCTCCAGGCGAGGAAGACGACGAGGAAGACGGCGCCGATGGAGCCCGACGTCAGCACCGCCACGATCACTGAGAACTTGGCCGCCTTGGGCCGGTTCGCGCCAAGCTCGTTGGACACCCTCACGCTGCAAGACAAGAAATTGGTTAAGCTTCTGCAGTGAATTGAAATTGGATGAGTAGTCAGTCCATGGTGTCGTTGAGTGAGTTGTTAGTTACCTCACTGCTGCGTTGAAGCCCAGTGCAACCATGAGCGTCCACAGCTGGTAATTGATGCTGTCAAATTTACGAATTCATAGGTTAGTTAGTTACTATGCAGTGAGCAAATTAACAAATGGGTAATTGATGCATGGGTTCCTTAATTACCAAATGGACATGACGTCAATCTGAAGCTGTGCGTTCTTTAGGAAACCCACAAGGATGAGCACCGCAGAGTAGTACCACAGCTCCAAGCTGCAAGAACAGAGTATTTTGCAATCGAGTTTAAACTAAATAATGTCGCTAACTGCTGGTAGAAAAGAGCTCTTTTGTTTGGATAGATGATCCTCCGACTTCTATCCTCCGATTACTTGTAAACGATGCATCTATATTATTGAATCAATAAGCTTTGCCGGAAGGCTTTCAAAAAGAGAAAAAGAAAAAAAAGAGAGACGAACCATACAAGCATACCAGAGCATGACGGCGGACGCAAGCGACAGCTTGACGAAGGCGGCGAGGTTGTGGAACGCGAGCTTGGAGAACCCTTGCCACGCCTCCGGGAAGCGTCCGGAGACGAGGTACCCCACCTGCGCGACGATGATGAGCCACCAGGTGACGTTCCCGACGGCGGCGGCGGCGAGGAGTCCATGCCCCAACCGCGCGACGAAGACGTAGTTGAGGACCACGTGGGCGGCGAGCCCGGCGCCCGAGATGGCGGTGACCACCCACACCCGGCTCTGCGCCTGGAAGAACTTCTGCAGCGGGAAGTTGGCGGCGTACGCGAGCAGCTGCGGGAGCACCCAGCGCGCGTAGGTTCCGGCCACGCGCGCGACGTCGCCGGGCTGCCGGAGCGCGCGGAGGATGGGCGCCGTGAAGAGGTACGTCGGGGTGAGGACCACCGCGGTGGCGCCGCAGATGATCCAGGACCGCTGGATGTACACGCCCAGCATGGACACCTGGCCAGCCCCCACCGCCTGACCGCACAGCGTCTCCAGCGCGCTGCCCATGCCCAGCTGGTGCACCATTGCCATGGATCACACAGGCAGCGCGTCACTTGTTAGTTTATTTCGTGGGCGTGCGCGGGCAAGTTCAAACTTACGTCGACCGCAAGTTCAAATGAAATCTGATTAAATCGGTTTGATTGTTCGGTAAACAGCATAGTAATTACTATAGTAGTTATCTTGTGCTAGAAAATTGTTTGTTTTTATTTGCCTTCTCTCACTAAACTTTCCTATCTCTTTTTGACACTTAAATTTTCCTATCTGACTTGACTATGAGCCACACGTACATGTACGTTTCATGACGGGCACATACTAATAGCAACTTGTGAATCCGTTTAATTTAGTTTCATGTATGCATGCACGAAACAAGTCCCTCTCCGATGAGATGGGCATGCAAATGTGAACGGCAAGAAAGAAAGACACTTTTAGTTGTCAGTGGACGGAGCCGAGACAGACAGGAGGGTCGCCTAGTTCTCATCGGATCCATCTACTATTCTACTTTCTCCTCTCCGTCGGAACCGGCGCGCGCGGCACCTAACGATCGAAAACGACCACCGGGAAACTGGAAAGCATGGCGTTTCTCGACGCGTCGGGACGTGCCGTCGGCCGTCGCCGTCGATGATCAATGCGGCACGAATTATTTGACCACTGCACCGAGCACCGGCCCGTGACTGATTGCTGGCCATATATCCCATCTAACACGCATACACGACCAACTAGTGGTGCGCACGAATGAAGGACCCCGCCCGGCGCTGCACTACTGCCACATACTAGGTTACACCTACTCCATTCATCTTAAAAGAATAATAACATAAATAGGTTTATTTTAAGTCAAACCATTTCAAGTTTATCTAAATTTATACACAAACATATCAATATTCTGATAAATTATGTGTTATCACATTCATGACGACATAATTTAATTTTGTTATACATATAACATATAAATTAGGTGTCGAAAACACGATGTTTTTAATAGATTTGATCAAGTTTAAATCGGCAAGCCTAAAACATTAGTTATTTTAGGATGGATGGAGTGTAATGCTATTAACGTTGTGTGCTAACTATCTAATGTTAGGATAGAACTCCATATCTTGCTAGTACTCCTCCGCACAAAATATTGTAACTATCGGATCTATTGTGCAAGTCAAACTACCTTCCGACCAAGTTTACAGTGAATAAGCATTACATTTATGTCGTCAACGACTAGGTTTACAATAAAATTATATTTCCTAATTAATTTAGTAATATTTATTTTGTATTATAAATATTAGCATTTTTTATATAACTTTGATCAAATTTTAAATTGTTTGACTCTTCGCAAAATAAGATTTCTTTTTTGGACGGAAAGAGTAAGTTTGAAGGGAGACAAGTGTGCCGCGCGTGTTGTTTGCTCCTGACAGCTTATTACACCAACTTCCAGAAAGCGTGGAGACAGCTAGTAGAAAATTTGGCCGGAACGCAAAGCAATCATCTCATCTGCATGTTGCTTCCTTTTTCAGATTGGCCTTTGTTGGCTTGCTTTTACTAGTTACACATGCTAGCTAGCAGCTATACTGATCACTTACTTTAATTTATTTCGTTCGTCCTAATAACCTAATAATAATAGAATCGACATTATCTTTTGACCAAAACAAAATGAGATGAGAAGATTAAATATTCACCAACACCAGCAGTACGTGTGCGGCTCAATCAATGCATGGCTTCATATTAGCTATACACTTGGCCTGAAGCTATCTGATCCATCGAAGAAGGTAGATGGATCGGACGACCCATTTCAGTTCAAAGTGCGGTGGGATCCATACACGCGTGCACGGACACATGTAGGTTCGTGAAAACTAAAGCATAAGCACCAACTAAATTTGATTAACGCATGCATATAATAAATAACACACATTCAATTCGAGCACAAGAATGTTCGTGACAGTATGCATATATACGTTTATAATTATAATAAAGAGCTAACTAGTAGCTAGCAGATCAGATTTATAATAGAGTAGGAGTACATGCGTATTTCTTTAATTGTACTACATACGCATGTGTATATTATATATATGTTCGTCGTTGCCCTGGATAGCTTTTGCTCTGTTCGTTTATGTTTGTTTGGCTGATAAACCATGTCTGAAAGTATTATTGGCTGATTTGATGAGAGAAAAAATACTGTTAAAAAAAAATACGGCTTATAGACCAAACGTGCCCAAACGAACAAAACGTTTGTCCCTGCGTGCTCCTGTCCTGGATGGCCGCCGGCTCTCTCATATATCGTCTAACCCTCCATGGGAAAGAACAAAGGAGCTATTAGAGACGACGGGGACGTGCAAACCACCCACACCAATTTTTATCGATCCATTTTAATTAAGCAACATCGATCTTCCAGACTAATGATCTCTTTATGTTTATTTATCCTTGTTTTTTATTTAAATCCGACCAAGGACCAAAGCCGTAAATTGTGTTTTCTAATGAAATGAAACAAATGTAAAGGTAGCACGTACGTAGTTTTCTTTGCACTAAAACCGATGGAGGGAGGCATTGGGAGAATGGGAGTTGCATGATGCGAGCGTACCAGGACTCCGTAGGCGAAACCTTCGATGACGTTCTCAACGACGGTGACGGCGGCGAGCTCGACGGAGCCGATGTGGCCCACGAAGCCGACGGTGACGAAGCCGATGGAGAACTGGAAGACGGCCGTGAGGATGGCCGGGAAGGCGATGTGCCACAGCAGCTTCGACTCCTGCCAGCTCTTGCTCAACGCCGCCTTCCCCTTCCCCTTCCACCCGATGGCCATGCTGGACGGCGACGACGACATGTGCAGCTGCTCGCTAGCTGGCTGGAGATAGATATATGTGGATGGATGGATCGATCACCTGCGCGCACTTAGCTAGCTTCCTCTTGATCTATCTATGTCGTATGGATCGGACGATAGGGGCAGGGAGGACGCATGCAATGGATCGAGGAGGACGCATTGATTGGAAGCAAGACAGCGGACACAAGTTGTTAGCTGGAGCTCTCAGCTCTACCAGCGGCTACTTAGGTTGGGCTGGGTGGTTATATATAGGCCTCTCTCTCTCTCTCTCTGCTGGAGTGTTTAGGCTATCTCCAACAATAACATCTAAAGTAAAAGACTAATTCATTATTTGGGTGGCGCTACATGCCATTGGACATTGGTGGTGGGTTGGGTGGAATCCGGCACCGTTCCAGTGGCAGTGATCGGGAGCGGCCGGAGTTTTGACACTGCTGCTCCCTGTCCCTGTCCCTGTCCCTGTCCCTGGCCGAACAAGAGGCGGAGGCGCTGTGCCTGTGCGTAGCCAAGCCTCTCTTCTCTCCGGAGTAGACACGGTGAGTGTTCAATCCAAAAAGTCAAGCTAGTTTTTTTTTTTTAAACCAAAGCTTAGCACAATGTGCCGTGCTAACATACGGGTACGGCTTCGTGTTTGGGCCAACAGATATGTGTGCAAGTGCTTAATCATGTACCGGACCTTCTTGAGAGTGGATCGGCCCGGTGGGAAGCATCAGATCGAAATATGGGTTGGGAATTGGGTTGGGCCAGAACATGCGGCTTCTCATGAAAATATTTGTATTCGCTCATCATTCGACTCGACTCATATAAATTGTTATTAGTACTAAAAAATCAAATTTACCTCCCTGAATAATCATCGTATTCCAATTTTTCTTCTCTAATTTTAAAACCGGATATCTTACCCACTGAACTCATAAAACCGTCCAAATTACTATCCTGATTTGAAGTGGTTTTGACGGCAGTTTTGTTGTCTTTAGTTAAAAGAAATCGGTAAATACTTGACAAGGTTTTTAAACCACAGAAAATGTCCCTAACCTTCCAAAAAATCTGGAAAAAATCGTAAGGATATATTGGGATACGAAAAATTCCAAGTTAAATATCTAGGGTCTTAAATATTTTTCAAGTGCCAAATTAAAGCTCCAAGTTTACATATGGTCTTGCAATTTAAGATCCTTTTACTCATAGATAAGTTTTTGTTGTCTCCGGTGTACAAGAAAAACAAGAGGAGCAGATTGGAAAATTCTGCCATGAGTTATGGGTTCCCATTTTTGTTCCATACTCCCTCCGTCCCAGAAAGAAGGGCGTTTTAGCGTTCAAAAAATGTCTCAGAAAGATTGACGTTTTAGACTATGGGACCCACGTAAAGAAGGATGCAGGCCTACGACTTTATCTCTTCAGACTTCGTCCGCAACTCCGCATCCTCATCCGTCTCCAAGCCATCTCCGCGACCCCACCCATCCGCAACTCTGTATATTGAAAGGTCCTAATGGCTAGAGTAGGGTGAATAGCCTATAAAAATTTCTACAACAACACTTAAGCCAAGTGGTTAGACAATTATGAAGCGAAGCGAGTGTTGCGCTAGCCTACTCAAAATACAAGCCTCCTATCCACAATTTTAGTTATCTATGATCTCTATAACACACAAGAGGCTATGTCACTACCACTAAGTTAGTGAGCTCTCAAAGACTAACTAAAGAGCCTCACTAACCACTAGACAAGACACAAGCTAGCTCTCAAAACTAATTACACTAATGAGCTTAGCTACATTAAGAAAGTAAATGCATAAGATAGGTAGTGAGGTATACCGCCGTGGCAAGATATCAATCACAATATATCAATGAATGCTAATGAAATCCTCGGAGACAAGATAACACAATGGTTTTTCACCGAGGTTCACTTTCTTGACGGCAAGCTAGTCCCCATTGTGGCGATTCACTCACTTGGAGGTTCACGCACTAATAGGCATCACACGCCTAACCCGCAATCAGGTGTCGCACAACCAACACAAGATGAGGATCCACAAGCCACGAGCAATCCACTAGAGTATATTTTGGCTCTTCGCTGGGAAAATGTCAAGAACCTCTCACAATCACCACAATCGGAGTCGGACCCAAGCACCTTCCTCCGCTCAATGATCCTCGCTGCACTAAGTCATCTAGGTGGTGGCAACCAGCAAGAGAAACAAGCGAATCCCACAGCGAAACACAATCACCAAGTGCCTCTACATGCAATCACTCAAACAATGCACTTGGGTTCACTCCCAATCTCACAAAGATGAATCAATGAAGGAGATGAGTAGGAGGACTTTGGCTTTGCTCACTAGGTTGCTATGTCAATGAAAATGGCCAAGAGGGTGAGCTAGAGCCAGCCATAGGGTTTAAATAGAAGCTCCCACGAAATAGAGCCGTTGAGTCACATAAGTGACCATCGGACTCTCGATCTCAGATCATCGGACCGTCCTACGGTCGGGTCCGACGCCGGTCTCAACCAGCCATGAGTTGCCACACGTCCTCGTTCAAAGTCAGTTGACCGTTGCCGCCAATGGTCACACGATCGCACTTACAACTCCATCATCGGACTTAGTGTCGGATGCACCGAAGGCCAGGTGAAAGGTCCTAATGGCTAGAGGGGGGTGAATAGTCTATTAAAATTTCTACAACAACACTAAGACAAATGATTAGTCAATAAGATGGCAAAGCAAATTTTGTGCTAGCACTATACTTGGGGTTGCAAGCCACCTGCCCAATTCTATTTTCTATGATCTCTAGTATATCACAACAAAGCTATGTCACTAATATACACCTAGATGATCAACCTAGTGAGAGTAATACAATTAAATGATACACTATCTAGTCTTAACTACCACTAGCTCTATCCAAGTGAATGTATAGTGAAATACAAGAGAGTGGTAGAGAGGTATACCGCCGTGGCAAGTGACCAATGAGTGAATACCAATGAATACCAAGGAGACAATCAAGACACAATGATTTTTCTTCTGAGGTTCACTTGCTTGCCGGCAAGGTAGTCCCCGTTGTGGTGATTCACTCACTTGGAGGTTCACGCGCTAATTGGTATCACACGCAAAACCCTCAATAGGGTGCCACACAACCAACACAAGATGAGGATCACACAAGCCACGAGCAATTTACTAGAGTACCTTTTGGCTCTCCGTGGAAAAGGTCAAGAACCCCTCATAATCACCACGATCGGAGCCGGAGACAACCACCAACCTCCGCTCGATGATCTTTGCTGCTCCAAGCCGTCTATGGGGCGACAACCACTAAGAGTAATAAGAGAATCCCACAGCGAAACACGAACACCAAGTGCCTCTAGATGCAAACACTCAAGTAATGCACTTGGATTCACTCCCAATCTTACAAAGATGATGAATCAACGATGGAGATGAGTGGGAGGGCTTTGACTAAACTCACAAGGTTGCTATGTCAATGCAAATGGCCAAGAGAGTGAGGTAGAGCCAGCCAAACGATATTTATAGACAACCCCAAATAATAGAGCCGTTGGCTCAATTATTGGGTTGGCTACGGGACAACCGGACGTGCAGGTCGTGTGCACCGGACGCGTCAGGCGTGGTGACCAGACATGTCCGGTCGCTGCATCCGGTTCGTCACGACCGCCATGTGTCCCTTTCAAATTGTTTATCCTTTCGCGCCCAACTACTATCCGCTCAACAACGACCGGACGTGTCCGGTGTGGTTGACCGGACGCAACAGGGGCAGCGTCCGGTTGAGTCTAGAGAGCTCCTAAAGCCGCTCAATTGCGACCGAACATGTCCGGTGTGGCGAACCGGATGCAAGAGGGGCAGTGTCCGATCGAGTCCAGATAGCTCCTAGAGCCGCTCAACTACAACTAGACGCGTCCGATGTGACCGACTGGACGCACCCCTACGTCCGGTCCTCTTTGGACCAACACCCGCACCCCACGTCATCACGACCTGACGCTAAACAATGATTCACTTACGAGAGCAGTCCGGTCACCTCAAGAAACTCGCCTGCGAGTTCACCACCTCGACAACGTCCTATAGATATCGGACGCGTCCGATCACGTCGAGAACTACCGAACATGTCCGGTCCTCATGTCGGACGCGTCCGATCACCCCGTGACTAGCTCATTCAACTCCTTTTCTTCACCAACTACTCCTTTGCAAATGTGCCAACACCACCAAGTGTACAACCCCTTGTGTACGTGTGTTAGCTTTTCACAAACATTTTTCAAGGAGTTAATCACTCCACTAGATCCTAAATATATATGCAATGAGTTAGAGCATCTAGTGGCACTTTGATAACCGCATTTTGATACGAGTTTCACCCTCTTAATAGTATGACTATCGATCCTAAATGTGATCATACTCACTAAGTGTCTCGATCATCAAAAAGAAAAAACTCCTATCAAGTTTCACCTTTGCCTTGAGCTTTTTGTTTTTCTCTTTCTTCTTTTCCAAGTCCAAGCATTTGATCATCACCATGCCATCATCATCATCATGATTTTCACCATTGCTTCATCACTTGGAGTAGTGCTACCTATATCATAATCACTTTGATAAACTAGGTTAGCACTTAGGGTTTCATCAATTCACCAAAACCAAACTAGAGCTTTCACCAGGTTCCGATGCCCGCGATTTTTACACAGAGAGGGTCTAGAACGTGTTTTTCGGTCGAACCCCGGTCCAACGCCAACCGTCGGACACAACGCTCGATCCAACACCTCCATGTGTCAGGGCAGCCCCCGCCGTGCCTATTTTCACGTAGAGGAACAGTGCGCGTGTGCCGTCCGACGCCATCGCGCGTTGCAGGGTCCAACGCCCCCGTGCTCGAGCCCCTACGCTAGGGTTAGCCATCAGACCCAGCTAGAGGCCGGTCCTATGCTCCGATGATCAGGGTTTGACGCCCCTAGATCAACTCAAACTCAGACGCGACACTTCACCCTTGCTCAAATGTGCTAACCACCAAGTGTAACACCTTGTGCACGTGTGTTAGCATATTTTCACAAATATTTTCAAGGGTGTTAGCACTCACTAGAATCTAAATACATATGCAATGAGTTAGAACATCTAGTGGCACTTTGATAACCGCATTTCGATACGAGTTTCACCCCTCTTAATAGTACGGCTATCTATCCTAAATGTAATCACACTCGCTAAGTGTCTCGATCACCAAAACACAAAAGCTCCTATGGATATCACCTTGCCTTGAGTTTTTTATTTTCACTTTCTTCTTTTCCAAGCCCGAGCACTTGATCATCACCATGGCCATCACCATTATCATGATCTTCATAATTTGCTCCACCACTTGGAATATGCTACCCTATCTCATGATCACTTAGAGTTAAATGATTGACACCTAGGGTTTCATTAATTCACCAAAATCAAACTACAACTTTCACATCCTCATCCAGTCCTCTCCTTCTTGCCGAGGCTGAGCGCAGCTGGGCCGACAGCAGAGCGCGTGGCCTCGAGCTCGCCCATGTAGAGCGTGCGTGCCGGGATGGTGCCGACGAGGGAGGCGGTGAAGCCTCTCCTAGCGTAGGATGGCAGTCGCCATCGCGACGGTGGAGGGTGGGGGTGCTGCCGGCCTAGCCGTCGTCACCGCAGGGGCGACTTGGAGGCGCTTATTGACAACAATGGTGGGGTAGAGTGCGACCAAGACAGCGGAGAAGAGCCCGGCGCCCACGACAAAGATGCGCGCCTTGTCGAACCGCTCCCAGCAGATGTCCTCTTGGAGTTATAGACCCTAGGAGTTCTCATCCTTCTCCACCGCCGACGGCGTTGGCGCGTTCTAGATCTGGATCTGGATGCGAACGGGGGAGAACATAGGGGTATTCTAGTCTTTTTCCTTATTCACTAGTTTCCATTCCCAATGCCAAAACGTCAACAATTCTACAATAGAGGGAGTATATGATTTCGGCTAGTAATAGCATTGACAATTCACATCCCAACACAGATGTGGTCAACATTACATATATAGCTCATGTTAATTGCATATAAACCAAGTTACAAAGCTTCCAACATGTAGTGATGCTTTTATCCTCACAATGCACACATGCATTCCACATTCTATACTATACCACAACACATTCATACAAACAACCAACATCATGCCAAAGAATCCCTACTAGAATCATATTATTTAAGTCAGCCATGCTCAGGCATACTCCACAAAAATGCGATTCTTACTTTTAAAGAGTCAAATAATTTCAAGTTATCTAAATCCATATGAAAAATATAAACATTTATGATACCAAATAAATATAATTAGATTATTTATAAAAATATTTTATAGTAAATCTATTAGAGACATAAATATTATTATTTTCTACAAACTTGATTATTTTTTAAAATTGTCTTTTCTTAAGTCTAGAATCGTATTTTTTTGGGACGGATCAATTATGCTTTTCAATAAAAAAATCAGTATGCATATGTTTAATCCATCGTTAATAATGCCACCATGTTTTCCTATAAGAAAAAGAGAGAAAAATGGTCGCAGGCGGCGAAGGACGTGATAACAAGAGAACAAAAGAGCTTTTCAAAAAAAAAAAAAGAGAACAAAAGAGGGAAAGAAATGCTCCTGGCTGGGAAAAAAAAAACAAAAACAAACACGAAGTCCACTGTTTCATCCTCTTCCCCCAATCCGTCCGACGACGGCTACCGGAACCCTTCCTCCGGCGGCCGGCCACAACGAGCCTCGGGCACCACAAATCCTACCCGTCGAATCGTGCGTCTCGCTGAGCCTCGATCCGATCCCCGCCACGCCGATCCTGCGTCGGTCGTCCGAATCCGGTGGATTATTTCCATCGCCGGGCGTTTATTTGGGCCGGGGGAGCTGGGGGGTGGGGGTGGGTATTTGGTGCCTTGAGTTGCTGCTCCCGCCCGTCGATGCTTGGTTAGCAGAGGCGGCGGCGGTACCATGTGGCAGTGCCTGGATGGAGTGAAGCACCTACTTGGCGTGCTCCTCAAGTGCTGCGACATCGACCTCAAGCAGCCCAAGGGCCTCGAGGATCCGGAGGTGCTTGCTAGGGAGACCGTGTGTACGTCCAAGCTGCTTCCCCGTTTCCGTTGCTGCCACCAATTCTTCGTTCCTAGTACCATACCATAATCAATTGTCTTCTGTTTGTCTTACTGCCTGGTCTGCGTGTAAAACTTTACCCGCAGTTAGCGTGAGCGAGGTCGAGGCGTTGTATGAGCTGTTCAAGAAGATCAGCAGTGCCGTGATTGATGATGGGCTGATCAACAAGGTTAGTGGGTGATTACCGCTGTTTTCTTTCTTCTCTGAGGAAAATGAATACACCTTTCTTGTTCTATGTATATACACATGATCGTGATGAGTAATCTGGGTTGTGGTGCTCATGTCCTGGCATTTTGCAGGAGGAGTTTCAGTTGGCGTTGTTCAAGACTAATAAGAAGGAAAGTTTGTTTGCTGATCGTGTAAGGCTACTTTGCACACTGTTTCTGTTTTGCTGTTTGTATTTTGTAGTTGTGCAATGAAAAATATTATAGCACTATTACTGGTATTCAGTCATGATCAAGTATTTGTTGATTGAAGCTACAGTATCAACAACATAAGGCTGCACTCTTTTAACTGTCCCTTTTCTACATCGACACAGTTCATACTCACAATCACTTGCATAGTTGCATTCAAACCATCTGAACCCACCTATTCTCTGCTTTACTACACCTGCCAAACAGAACTTTTAATAATGAAATAATCATTTAAGCCTGCTGTGTTCATATGTCACTAACTGTGTCCAATGAAAAATAGTCAAGTGAGATCCTGTGGATTCATACTTTTGTTCAGTGTATTAATATAACCATTGTCATTGTTCTTGCAGGTATTTGACTTATTTGATACAAAACACAATGGAATTCTTGGATTTGAAGAATTTGCCCGGGCACTCTCAGTATTTCATCCCAATGCTCCCCTGGATGAGAAGATTGAGTGTAAGTTCACGATACTTAGGGCATATGCACAGTTTGTTTGATTCCAAAATAAGGCATGAACATAACAGCAGACTTTATGTTGATGTGGTCCAGATTAGTATAGTTCAAAAATAAATAATGAATGCCAACATAGTGCAAGATGATACAGTGTTACAAATGACACTTCCTATTTCATAGTTTCTTAAGCCAACTTATGAGAGTAGAAATAGACTTAGCATTATTATTGCATAAATATCTATGTTCTGTACTAAGAGATATAACTTGATGTTTACTGATACATGGTTTTGTAAAGAACCACTTTGATATTCACCACCTCTATCCAGAAGTTCTGCTAATTGGCTCCTAATAGTGCCATGCCAAAATGTGACAACTAATTCTAATGCTACAACTCACGAAATTAGCATCATAATGTGTTACAGCTTACAACTACCTACTGTGTTTTTTCGCTGCAGCAATTAGTATATGCCAGTCTTAGATATAGATGGCCTAGAGAAGTTTGAGTTAGTCTGCAATTAGATGTCATTTTGGGTTTTCAAGGCAACCAAATTTTCCTATGATTCCTTATTAGTAGTGATGGTAGACAGAAATTTGGTGAAAACTATGTCAAAAAGAAACTATTAAGCACTGTTTGGCAGAGCTGTATTTGTAGCTCTAGGAAATCCTGGATCTGGAGCTACAGGCATGTCTAGTGCATTTACATGACTCGTTTCATTTATAGTTTAGATTAGATATAAATATTTAAACCACTTTAATGTAGTCTATAAACTGCAGATCCAGCATAGATCTCAGAGTTGGAGCTGTGCCAAACGGACCCTAATTCCTCCTGTATGCATTTAGCTACCTTGGCATGTACAGTTAAATCAGATTGGGAGGAGTAATAAGTGTTAAGAAGTTACTTGTATTGACTCAGATTGTGATCTTTTTATAGATTTGTGTACTTTAGATGCCATCTGAGGACTAGTGGTCTCTCATGGGGGAATGTCAATATGGGTTGTATACTTGTATTGTATTGTATTGTATTGTAACTCTCTTGTTGTTTAGTAGTGCACAGTGATGCATAAGCAATTGCATTAATTTGTTTTTAGCATATGCCCATGTTCTTTCTTTCTTCTGCGTTATGCCTGCTTTTATTCTTTATTTTTGTATTCGAGGGGAAAATATCCTTGCTGACTTTACAATCCTTGCAGTTTCATTCCAGCTATATGACCTCAAGCAACAAGGCTTCATTGAAAGACAGGAGGTATTTAACTAATCTATTTGCTATGTTGCTTAGCATGTTTGTAGGGTTATATGGTTTTGATTTAACAAATGTTTTACAATCCTGACACTGGCTGGTATAATCGAATTGGCTAGTTTCCAGTTGTTTTCTTATCAAATCGTTTGCCTTCACTTTTCCTTCATGTTTAAGTTCTTTGCTATTCTATTTTACTTCCCTTATAACTAATGGTCACATATCTTCATAATTAATGTATAGGCAAACCCAGTTCCAGCTGGCTAAATGCTATCGTACCGTCACCCTAAAAAGAATCTGGATTACCATCTCTTTCTGCTTTCCATTTGTAGGATAGTTCAAAGATTTTCATATATTTAGTTAACTTGAATCATAGTTTCCCTCAAATTTGTACTGAGCCATTTTGTGGCTGCATGCTGTAGTTCTCAACCTCGTTCTTTGTATATTGTTTTGACTTGTTAACAAAAAGACCCATATTCTACATCTATAAGCTTGGATTGCTTTGTTGCTGGTTAAGAGAGATTTTGTGCCAATTGATCTATATGTTAAAAGGATGTACGTTAACTTGAGTTTGTACGCTGTACGGTGGTGCTGCAAACAGACAGCCACAAATTTACATCATATGATCCCTTGCTTGTGCTTATTAGATTATACGATAAGGCTGAAGCCATCGACATAAAGTTACACCAACATCCTTTGATCCCTATTTTCATTAGTAATATCTTTTATACATCAACATTTCTGTTATTCTTATTAAAAGCCAGATAATTAACCGTGATACATTTTATGCTCGTTTACTAAAAAAAGGCATTGATCTTAATGCATTCTGTATCTAATAATTTCCTTGTTTTGTTATTAGGTAAAGCAAATGGTTGTTGCTACACTTGCGGAGTCAGGAATGAATCTTTCAGATGAGGTCATAGAGAGCATCATTGATAAGGTGTGCTGAGATGTTTGTATCGACATACTCCCTCCGTTCCAAATTATAAGTCGCTTTGACTTTTTTGATTCAACCATTTTGCTATGTATCTAGACATATAATATCTAGATGCATAGCAAAATGGATGTACAAAAAAGTCAAAACGACTTATAATTTGGAACGGAGGGAGTACTTGTCTGGCTATTTCTTTTCCACATAGAGCCCTTGTGGACTTATATTGAAAAATCGTGAAAACAGTGTGTCGAGCCAATTAAGAGCCCATAGATTCTTAGGAATGCTTGAGATTATAATCAGGGAGTTTGGAGAGCAGCTGTAACTAACAGTACGACACAACCTATGGCTAGGCAACAATGGGATAGACGAATGGGGGGTCCAACTTGGTTGGGGTTTGGAAGCACTGTGGATGTGCGGTCACTGGCTGGTCAGCTGGGTAGCAGTTCCAAACGAAGCATGTTATGAAGCAGTGACAACAAGGTGCCTCATATGCTGTCCAATTTGGTGAGAAAGAGGTTTAGTTTTTTTCTCTCTCGAACATGCAGGAGAGTTGCACATCTTTATTCTAAAGAGAAAATGAGAGGAAATAAACCCCCGTACAAGGCAACCTACTTACCTCCACTAGGAGATAAAAGAAGGTTTCAAAAAAAAAAAAAATGCATAGGCTTATCACACAATATAAACACAAGAGCATGACCTGACTATGAAGCCAAATTACTCTACACCCTCCACACGACCAAAGAATAAATCCTGATGTTTCCGAGCTTCAGCAAAACACCACATCCACAGCTCTTCATTGAAAAACTATTGGGCAGCCAGCGAGGATGGAGAGGCACCATCAAATATATTCCTGAGATTCCATAGGGTCCAAGCTCCCAAGACCACAGAACTGCTGAACCCTTTTCTTTGAGGCCTTCCAATTTTTTGGCTAGATTTCCTCCACAATCAGCAAAGCACTTATCATGGCGTCTGGGTACAGTGTGTTGGAGGACAGTAGGGGCCAGCAAATGATGCTACAATTGCCTAGCAAAAACACAGCTAGTAAGAATATGTTGCACCGTCTCCTCTTGATCACAAAGAACACACTGTTCGGGATGTCCAAGGCCCCATTTTGCTAACCAATCTACTGTCCAGCACTTGTTTTGAATCACAAGACATAGGAAAACCTTGCACTTGGGAGGACCCATGATTTCCAGAGATGTTTCCAAGAATGATATGGCACCATAGAAGAATACCCTATAAGTAGACTTGGAAGTGAAGGTTCCACTCCCCTGATGCTGCCTGTAGTACCCATCTTCATCGTGGGAAAGAAAGAACAAAGTCTTCCAAAGAGTCCCAAACTTGCAAGTACTGAACCAAGCCCTCTAAAGAGAGACCCCCTTGAGTATCCATTATCCAAGCTAATAAAGACCGAGACACCATGATGAAGTTGGTTTGTGTCTTAGTAATATTTCATAATATCATGGAAATCTTGGTACATGCACTGTTTAAAGTCAAAGTCATAGGATCCCATTCAGTTATTGCTTTGTATAATGGTTTCTGTTGTGCTGCTTCGGGTAGTTAAAGAATATATCAACTATTCTTCCCCTAATTTTCTATCTATATCTATTCCTACTACCCGAATCTCCATGAAGCAATGACATGCCGCCTGGCCTTCCTTGTTACAGTGGCTGTCTGCTATCATATTTGGAAATTAAGTTTGATAACAGAATCTTTGCAAACATCACTGTGCATTGAAGTTGTCACTCATAATATGTCTGTCCCCTTGACCGTTGTTGAATCAAGTTGGCTGATACCTTACATATGTAACCTTTCCTACATGACAGGATCAAGATACCCCAGGGGTTGAATTGGACTTATGAAAATTTTCACATGAATTCAAACCTATTACTTAGCCAAATTCACATATGTGCCTAGGAAACGAAAGCGTGACTATCCTATGCACAAAAACACCTAGTAATCATTAATTATTTTAGTTAATACAATAAATATAGTTGTTTCTGTAAACAAGAAAATGTATTTAACTATAGCTATTATCAATAGTATCCTTTTTGTGCTGATTGATGCACTGTGCTGCACTTATTACTTAAGTCATACTTAGGTGGCCTCGGCGGCACTCCTCAGGTCTTGAGTTCGACTCTCTGTGGGAGCGAATTTCAGGCTGGGGTTAAAAAAATCACCTCGTCTGTCCCACGGCCAAAGCACATGTCAAAAGGCCCGGCTCGGTTCTCACAGGGCAACGGTGCCCCTGTGTCAGGGTGGGGCAGGGGTTCGGGGGTTTTCTCGGCCTGTGAGAAGGTCTTCTCTCTTACAGCAATGCCCGGGGGGTGGCTTACCCCAGGTCGAAGTTTTTTTTTTAAATGACAAGCTGGTCGGTCTGTATGTGCTATTTGAATCTTCTTATTAAGTTTTTGTTCTTTTTTCTAAAAGACTTTTGAGGAGGCAGACACAAAGCATGATGGGAAAATTGACAAAGAAGAATGGCGCAATTTAGTAGTGAGGCATCCGTCTTTATTGAAGAACATGACACTACAATATCTCAAGTAAGATATTCTAATTTTTTTTGTACGCTGTTAACTCTGTTTACCTGGAAATAACAAATACAACATTAAATACCATGATTTATTTAGATAATAGCAGAGCATATGAGATTATCTTGAATGAGCTAGTATTGTAAATTGTGGTTCTATTTCAACCAAATCAATTTATGGTTGTAATCATACCAACTTTGTGCAGGGACATCACCACTACATTTCCGAGCTTTGTCTTCCATTCTCAGGTCGATGATACCTGAACTTCTGAAAACTAATGAATATCAGAAAGTGGACTGCTTGCTTTGCTATGCAAACTTTTCAGTGCTGATTTGATGGTTCAGCAGATCCCAGCGTCCTGAAGGCATCAAACCATTCATGTTGTTAATAACTTTTTTTCTTGCTTTTTTTTTAATTTTGAATTTTGGCTGAATTCTGTGTGAATTCCCCTTCTCCTTTTTCTTCCATTGTTCTTTTATTCTATTTCCGTTTTGATGGCCAGTAGCGATCGAGTCGGTTGATGTGTGTACAAAGCTGCAGCTGATGCTGCCTGTCAGTGAATTGTATGTTATGTGAGGAAGATTTCAATTATATATGCAACTTTTGTGCCACAATAGTTGCACATATTTCTACTTTCCTTTGTAATTTCTATCTGTTATATTTTCTTTCCAATATAGTCAATTTCTTGAACTGAAACTATATTACTCATGAGCATGGATAAATTTAGGTTAGATAGATGATGATGTTTTTCCCCCTAGTAATCAGCACCATATAATTTCCATGTTTTACATTAAATTACCAGGGTGCAATTAACTTTTGTAGACATGTAAGTACACGTTAAATAACATTCATGACACTAAGGTGCATACGCATGTATTTCAAATATTATTGGAAAATTGCATTGTCCAAATCCCACTGGACTCATAAAAAAACAATGATTCAAGCCTAAACACTATGTAGACTACAGTAGCTAGGACTAGAAAAGGCTAAAAGACTTATGAACTGCTCGAAATATAAGCTAGACTAATAAGAATCTAAGATCAACTCGAATCACAAACGTGCCAAGTTTGAACCCATTTGACAAACTCTAGCCTGAGGCGATGAGCTGCCTCGCTCGAGCTCAGGTCATTTTTACAGCATTTTTTTGCCGCCCGCCGCTCGTCTTCGTTGTTTCTATTCGCTTGGCTGATAAGCTACGGTAAAAGTGTCGTAAACTGATTTGTTGTGAGCTATTCGTTGGCTTAAAAAAATATGACTTATAAACCGATCGAACATGCGCTTATCCACACCACCAAATACAGCCCACAGCCCACAGGGAGAGAGGCGTGCAAGGGTCCAGCCCCACCCGCGCCTGCGGTCCACCCAGAGAAGCGCAAGCGCTCCTGAGCCGCCGTCCACCGAATCCCCGACCGCGCCCGGGCGCCCCTCGACCTCCGTTCTCCGTGGCGGCGTGCCGGCCATCCGCCCTCCACCCTCGCCCCTCCCATCGACGACCTCGTATCCTCCGTCCTCGGGCCTCGGCTAGCTCCTGCTGGGCGCTGGGTAGCGGGCTCGTTCGTCGGTGCTGTGCAGATCCACCCGCGCCCCGCCTTGTTCTGTGCTGCAGCTTGGCGCTGCGTCACTGACCAAGTGCGCCTCTGCCAGACGGCCGACGGCCAGCACCGCAGTTCGCAGGGCCGCTGGTGCCCTCTCTTGTCTGGCAGCAACAGCAGCACAGCCCGGAGTCGCCCAAGCCCCCTGTCCCTGCTGCACAGTGAGTCAGCGTGATTGTTTGATTTGTAATTTTTGTTGCACCTTACGCCGATACTGTTTTGTTAGCTTCGTCAGTTGCACACATTCTCAATTTGTCCTCCTTATTAAGTGCGAATTCAGGAATCCATTTGTCACTCCTTAAATTTGTAGCGAACTTGTAACTTGTTTAAGATTCAAAACCAATTTGGCACAAAATTTACTCTGTTGCTCAAGTGCATCATTTAGTTCTACCTATATATGCATGTGATTAATTTTTTATTATATGTTACATTTACCTTATCACCAATTTTGCGTGATTATATTTTTATGAGTTACTCTCATGTTGTAACTTGTTAGCATATATATATATATATACAAGTGGCCTAAATATCTATGCTTGGGCTTAGCATTATGAAGTAAACGAGTATAATCAGCACCCCCTCCTGCTGCGTTTCAGGTCTGCCACTGCCCCTCGCTGTTGCTGTGGGCAAGGCAAAGTGCTCTCCCGTTCTCAATGGGGCACAGTTTCTTTTCGATGCACCAGATAGCCTCTCGCTCGGTGGGACATCAGCTATTCGATTGTTTATTGCTTCCAAGGATTTCCCCCCCACTTCTCCCCTAATTATCCTGTGCAAAATTGCAGTTTTTTTCCTTGCCCATCCCTCCTGACTGTTCCGATAATCCAGAACCATTGCGTTTTCCCTCCAATTTTCTAGCTTAATATCGCTCCTTTTTGCCTAGGGTTTGCTTGGTAGGAGATGGTACAGCTCTGCCACGAAGGGGGGCCCTTCGATTGCTGGCGTAGGCGACATCATTGCTGTCGCATCAGGCAAAGGTGGTGTAGGCAAGTCCACCACTGCAGGTCTACATTTCTCTTAACACTAGAATAGCTCGCATTTGTCCAATTCTTTTTCAGATTTGATATTGGTGTAGATGGCTTTAAGGATGATGTGTTGTGATTGTAGAGCTTGAATCTTTTAGATCTGTTTGGAGGTATATTGAAACCAAAAGTTGGGCTGTGCTAAAGATACTTCCTAGTTCTTATTAGCTATCTTGAAGCAGAAATGGTTCTTAACTTGAGTCGAGGATAGATGCCAATGATTTAGGTGCATAATTTCTGTTTTAACTTTTAAACAATGATGGCAATACAAAAGCTAGCGGTTGTCTTCTAGTCATATTTCTTGAGTTCCTGCTCCATTTTTGTTTCTTTCTGTTCACTAGAGTTTAAATTCCTCCTTCATATTGGCAATTGTATTTGTACAGTTAACATTGCTGTAGCACTTGCCAAGGAGTTTAAGCTTCAGGTTGGTTTGCTAGATGCTGACATATATGGACCATCCATTCCCACAATGATGAATCTCCATGCTAAGCCTGAAGTAAGTGAAGGTATTTGTTGGATCTCTTTCAGCACATACTATGGTGTACACCATATGCCTTCTTATATATGTTAAAACTCGTCAGGCTATACACCTAGGACTTTGGTTGTCTTGTTTGGATTTTTTAGATCTCTCTTTTATCATGATACTGTTGCATGTCAAAATTTGATTTGTGTAAATTGAATTATATCAGAAAAAATGAAGAAATATTTACAGGACACAACCTTGCTAAATTAAAAGTACAAGTCAAAAGACTACGCTGAAAGAACCAAAGATAAGCTTGTTTTTAGAACTTGGTTGCTCATTTTCCCCTGATATCTTTTCTCTTGCTACATGATTAAACAAAACTGTTCATCTTCTTTTCATGGCTGCGCCATTTTTTTTAACTAAATGGTGCTTGACTCGCTTAGGGCTTGTTTGGTTTGGTGGGGATTGGAGGGTGTTTAAATCCCTTGCAAGTCAAAAGCCCTCTCATCCCTTCCAATCCACTTGGGGAGGGGATAGAACAAGACCTTGGCTAGACTACAATGATAGTTTCATTTTTTTAAGGTGATTGAATTTAATTAAATGAACATCAATTAATTGGCCATTGGCCCATTGCACTAGTTTTGTTCAGTTGAAACCACAAACCATCAAACTTATTACCTTTTGACCAAGTTTGATAAACACCAGGCAGTCCCAAATTATCATGGGAAAGCGTTTTGCACTGGTCGCAATTTTAATCTATGTCTAGCTGAGCAGTGAGCTAAATATAGCTGTTTGGGAATGTAATTCTTCACTATTCTTTAATACATGTACACCGATTACCCTGCCAAGCCTGTTTAGCCTCTGGTAAAATAATTCCTGGATACTAGCATGCCTATAATACGGGTACCTTTTTTTTTAACTACAATTATGTTTGCTGTTTCTTTGTGGGTTTGTACTGATTTTTAATTACATGTATTTTTTGCAGACATGAAGATGATTCCAGTTGAGAACCATGGTGTGCGATGCATGTCCATTGGTTTTCTTGTAGACAAAGACGCACCAATTGTTTGGAGAGGTCCTATGGTTTGTCTTTGCATGTGCTTCTGTTAACGTCTCCTTTGAAGTGTCTGTAAATCCTTTGGGCATTTATCATGTCAAGCATTTCCTTTTCTGTTGCATGTTTAGCGCATAAAAACATAAACTGAAATGTAAACATGCATATTATCGTGAAAATATGTTAATATGGAAACAAACAACTGTTGCAGCTTTGGCTACTTTCTGTTCTTGCATCTTTAATGCAAGAAAACTGGTCTAGGGTTAGGATCCAGAAGGGTTGGTGTATGTGAACACTTTTATGTTATATTTTCACTCCATGCAGGTGATGTTACAATTAAATCTTATAGATGGTGAAATGGCTAATTTGAAATTTCTTTAATTACTGCTCAAAGAAAACAATTTTTTGTTGAAGTTGATTGAAATATGTAATGATGGTTAGTTGGCTTTTGTTATATTCGAATCAGTTGCCATGAGTAGTCCTTTAAATAGATATAATGCTGTAGTTTCATATTTATTTGTGTTCTTTTGTCATGTTCTATGTTGGTAAAACTACTTTTCTCTTGGTATATCAGGTGATGAGTGCTCTTGAGAAGATGACAAGGGGAGTTGCTTGGGGGGACCTTGATATTCTTGTTGTTGATATGCCCCCAGGCACTGGTGATGCTCAACTATCGATGTCCCAAAGGCTTCGGTTATCTGGTATTTATACATCTGCCTATGAAGCTGTAAATGCTGATTGGATACAGATTTTAGATTTTAGTTTTTACATATTGTTTCTGCAGGTGCTTTAATTGTTTCAACTCCTCAAGATATTGCTCTTATTGATGCTAGAAGAGGAGCCAACATGTTCCGCAAAGTTCAAGTTCCTGTACAGTCTGTTTAACTTGGTCTATCTTTTTGTCTCCATAACTGTTTTGTCTGTATCACATTTTAAATTTCTATTTCAAGTTATAATTCTTCAGTTTATTCTCTTAGTTTTTTTTCCTAAACTTCGTCAGTTACTGTTTTGTAGTCGATTGTATGTCAACCCTGAAAATAAGGGTATCACTTATCCACCTTAAGAATATGCACATTTCATTTTACTGATTCAAAATTCTTCATTATGCCTTTCCCATTGTCCAGTATATCTAGTTTTCACATCACAGCTGAGTATTTTGGTTTCACAGATTCTGGGATTGGTTGAGAATATGAGTTGCTTTAAGTGCCCAAAATGTGGTGAGAAATCTTACATCTTCGGGGAAGGTGGAGCACAGAGAACTGCAGAGGAAATGGACATGAAATTACTTGGTGATGTGAGTGAATCTTGTCATAATTGATTTCAATTGGCACCAATTCTTAAGTTGTGATGATTATGCTCGTCTCTTTTATATCTGAGAAAGGATGAATCTTTTTCGAAGATTAGACTGTTACTTTAATTTCTAGATATCATGAATTTCAGATGTAGAGAACATTCTGTTAGGAATGAACACCCTAAATTTGGTTTTACTGCAGATGGATAATTGGCTTATCAGTTTTATATATGTTTTATTTACATATGCGTATGAGCTTATGCTACACAGCGGTTGTTTTTCTTCAATAGGTACCTCTTGAAATCAGCATCAGAACAGGTTCAGATGAAGGCAAGCCTATCGTTGTGTCATCACCAAACTCTGCATCAGCGCAGGCGTACGTAAATGTTGCTGAGAAGGTGACTCAAAGGCTCAATGAGCTAGCAGAGGAGCGACGGATGGGCCCAGAAATCTTACTTTGAGAAATTCAGGCCGCTTTTGTACACACCTTCCCTGTTTGTTTCACGCTACGGCAGGAAAGAAATTATATCTACGGATAAGTAGATTGTCTGTTTCACGCTAGGGCGGCAAAGAAATTATATCTACTGATAAGTAGATTGTTGTTGGAAGTAAACTTTAAATTTTATCAGTTGGGCTGGAAATTTACTCAAATAAACCTCTGCTGGCAACCTTGTCTTTGTCATGCATGTCCTTTGTCTAGTCTCTGCGTTCTGCATGACTCGTTGAGTGATGACTATGTATAATATTATTATGTGGACCGTGTTTTTTTTTATTATCATATGTGGACTGTGCTTTTGGCATGCATGTAGTATTATTATCACTTTTCCACCTGTGAACACATGTTTATTTGGCATCTAGGGCTGCTGCCTAGTAGCGTGTGTAGGCTCGAAGAGAGGTCATAGGGGTGTTAGCGGGCTGCGCCGTCGGGTGTCTGACGAGTGGCCCATGGCCCTAGTCCCCTCCCCTCCTCTTTTTCTAAATAAAAAAAAATCTGCTTTTCCACGTACTCGTTTCTATCCGCTCATTGGTTCCTATTTGGTCACCTGCTGGCTGCTGCCTCCAGCACTTGACTGCTGGCCAGCCAGGCGCAGCGCGCGACCGCCTCCGCCGTCCCCCCGTCGGGCCATTTTGGCGCGTCGTCTCCGCCATCCCCCGCCGCGCCATGCCCGTCCTCCGCCGCGCCTAGGGTGTGCTGGCCCAGGCCACCGAGCAGGTGCTCGCCCAAGGGTGCTTGCACGCCTCGCGCAGGTGTTCACCCAAGCCATTGAGCATGTGCTCGCCCAAGGGCGCACCGACGAGTTCTATGCGTTGCGATGGCATCGAGCTCTGCGATTCGTCCAAGCAGCAAGGTGACATTGCGCGCTAAAAACACATGTTGCAAGAATATATTTCAAGTGTTTCAGACGTTTCATCTGGATGTTGTAAGTCTTTTATGTGGATGCTGCAAAGTAGATCGGGATGTTGCATATGTTGCAATGGCTATACACGTATGTCGTAAGTATGTTTTCCAAATATTTCAGCTGTTTCATCTGGATGTTGCATATGTTGCAGTGGCTATACACGTATGTTGCAAGTGTATGTTCCAAATATTTCACCCGTTTCAGACGTATGTTGCAAGTGTTTTTATCTGGATGTTGCATATGTTGTCATGGTTATACACATATGTTGCAAACGTATGTTTCACTTGTTTCACCTTATTTCAGTATGTTGCAACAGGTGCGGCTCCCAATGCGCTCTGACTCGTGGGCAAGCACGCGCTGCACCAGGCGCCCCTGCACCACTAGGCGTGGTCCCCCACAGTGGAGCATGGAACCGGCTTAACACATGTGTATGCGTGCTGTGCTCCCTCCCTCTCTCGCATTGGGGCACGCGCACTGTGCTCTCTCTCGCATTGGGTACGCACGTTGTGATCCCTCTCTCTCTCGCATGCAACTGGGGTCTCTCGCATTGGGGCACGCGTGTTGTGCTATCTCTCTCTCTTGCATTGGGGTACGCGCGCTGTGTTCCCTCTCTCTCGCATGCAGCTGGGTGGGTGGGAGGATGCGTGGGGTGTAGCAGCAGGAGGAGGCGTGTGTTCCCAAAAAAGGCAAGAGGAGGCGCGGGGCACATCACGCGCGGTTCCGTCCAATTGTCCGGGCGCTAGCATAGCCGCCAACAGAAACTATAGCAATTTCTCCATTGCCATTCAAAATTATGCCTTTCCTTTGTTGCCACATACATACATATATATATATATATATATATATATTCCTTTATTACCATTCTGTTAATTTTAAACTAATGACGTTAAGCTCTTCTGTATAGCCATTGTCTTATCTGCTATCGCTTATCCAATCTGACGTGTGTATATATATATATATATATATATATATATATATATATATATATATATATATATTCCTTTATTACCATTCTGTTAATTTTAAACTAATGACGTTAAGCTCTTTCAGTATAGCCATTGTCTTATCTGCTATCGCTTATCCAACTGCATCGTTAAGCGGTAGTATAATCTTCTCCTAGTCATGATTAGACCCAATGGAGTCATTCCATCAAGGCTATTGCATCTTTCTTTGATCTTCTCCTATAGCATAGAAGTCCAAGAAGCAAGTAGCTATATCTCGTTCTAGTATAGAGGCAGAACTTCGAGCACTTATAACTACTACTTCAGAGATTGTATGGTTTCGATGGTTGTTGGCTGATTTTGGTATTTCCTGTGATGCCCCCACACCACTTCTTTGTGATAATACAGGAGCTATACAGATTGCTAATGATCCTGTGAAGCAGGACTTACAAAGCATATTGGGGTTGATACCTTCTTCACTCGTTCTCATTATCATCAGCAAATCATTGCTCTCCAGTATATGCCCTCAGAGTTGCAGTTGTCAGATTTTTTCACTATAGCACAAACCAGAGAGCAGCATCAGCTTTATTTACTCAAACTCAATGCTTGAGATCCTCTAGTTCTACCTTGAGTTTGAAGGGGGTGTTAAGCGTACGAAGGCCCATCTAGTATAGGCCTATATGGCCCATGAGGCTATCTACATATATGGTTATCTCCACTAATGGAGGATCTCATTCTCTCAAATCCCAAGGTTAGTAACATCTGCAGCATAGCAATACCATTAGAATGTAAGTTACTAACCCAAACCAGTCCCAGTGATCCTGACACGTCATTCTAAGCCAATTCCTGAATTAGTCCCAATCTAACTTACTACCCATCATTACGATTACAAATCAAATGAATCACTGTACCTGTACTTATTTCCGAGGAATTTCAATAAACAAATCATTCAAAATTTTAATCCACACAACCTTACCCATCCTCATATGACTACGCAAATTGTGCTGAATTTTCGTTGAATAATCCAAGACATTCCCGCCAAACCGGCAAACCCACATCAAGTGATTCTACCAAAACACAAATCAAACCTATCATAAATAATAATAATCCAAGAAATCTCGACCAATATAACATCCCAAACAAAGTGATTATACCAATCAAACCAATCATTCTACCCAAACTTATACCAAAATTTTCATGGCCCCAAAATCATTCCTAATAACTTTCCACATGTAGCCTACCCTCCCCAATCTGATAATACGGTTACCCAAGTTTTCGACAAAAATAATCGCACACATTCCCACCAGTACCACATCCAAACAAACCGATTCTACTAGAATGATCTCATAAATAGCCCAATCAGAAGCAAACAACAAACATTCACACACCAGGGAAATAACTTGCTCCAGGTCCGACGCGGATGATGTCGGGGCCGTGCGAAAGCGCAAACTAGATGGCGACAAGCAGGTACTGGTTCGCCTCGATTTTTAGATTGGTGTCGTTGATCCTGACGTTGGTCTGGTTCACAGTGCCTCGCACCACCACTTCCGCCTCCACCTTGTGCGCGACCACCTCTGGATTGAACACCTGGAACATGTGGGGCCCTTGAGGCCCACTTGCACGCGGTGGCTGATCTCAAGGGCGTCGGGGGGTGTTGTGGTCGACGTGGACCTACAGATTCAGCGGTCCCTCTCCCTCAAAGTGCTCATCAATCATCTCCATTGAAGACACAACCACCTTGCGAAGCGACTGGTCCATGGCTACGTGGGGAGGTGGCTGGCTTTTGATGGTAAGATTTGGGTAGGGCCGATTTTGTAATTTAGCCCTTTTTGCGTAAAAAATTCACATTTATACTCCTAGGCGCCAAAAATCTAGATTTGGACCCTTTTCTCGATGTCGTTGTAGGGTAGAGATGGTGGACGAGAGGGAGGGTGAATAGTCCTTTCTAAAAAGTAATCGCACCGGCTAACCGAAACAAATACAGAATTAAACCTATCGGTCTAGCCAAGACTACACCCCTCTATCTAAATTCTCAAGCACCTTATAAAGATCCTAATATGAGCCACTAAGGTGCCAGGCTAGGCAGAGTTCACCTAAACAATTCTAGTTAGCAAGGTCACACAAACTTATGCAACTAGTACTCAAGCAACCGAGGAGCTCCTACACATGCTAGTATGCAAAGCACACAAAGCCTAAGCTTACTAGCAATGCTCAATAGCAAGGCTACACAAGCTAAACTAGAGAGCTCAAATTACTTAGCTACACAAACTAAGCAATGTAACTAGTAAGGCCACACAAGCCAACTGTTATGCAAAAGAGCAACTACTTTGCTAAAAAACAAACTAGCTACACAAGAGCAACAACAACACAAGCACAATATATCAACAAGTAAATACAAGCTTGTGTATGCAGATTGCAAACCAACGGGAAGATATGATGACACGATGATTTTTATTCCGAGGTTCGGTGGTTTGCCAACCACTTAATCCTCATTGAGACAAGATAAAGGTTGTCGCTGATCCGCTTGCTAGTGGTAACCTGCAAATCACACTATCCCACGTGGAGTGCTCACCACACGCTCTAGCACTTGACGCGGACGAACCACTTGACGCTCTTCATGTCTCGCTCAAGTAGAATTGCTCTTCACATCTTCCGCGGGGCGAGCACAACACCCCTCACAAAGCACTTCTCCATAGCACCGCACATGCTTCTTGTGGGCTTCACAACAGAGACACACCACCAAGCCATCTAGGAGGTGGCAACACCCAAGAGTAACAAGCACCACCAACTTGCAACTCGATCACCTAGTGCCACTCGATGCAACCACTCAATGCAACGTACTAGGAATTGCTCACTTCGCAATCGGATCATACTCTTGCAAGCACAAGTGAGTTAGAGGGCTCCCAAGTACTCTCCAAGCATGGACACTAAGTCCCCAAGGTGCTCAACCGCTCAAAGGGCCACCCACCATCTCCTTTTATATACCACAAAGGCCAACTAGCCGTTGGGCAAAAAGTTGCCCAGTCACGCGTACACCGGACATGTCAGGTGTACACGTAACCCCTGCACTGGACATGTTAGGTGCATATATAATGGCTATATCCAACATTTGAAAAACTA